TTTTTAGATCTGACAGTTCTATAGCCAGCCGTGCAAGAACTATACTAGAGTCCGTCCACAGAAATTAGGCTTGAGTTTAATAGAGCTAACGTTAATTTTAAATACCAATTTAAGGCGCTATTTAGATTTTGCACAATAAATGATCGATTTGATATTGTCTACGTCGTCCGCTGTCCTCAAATAAACAGAAGCACGGTAAGCATTTATGAAGAGTCGGTAAAACTATGAATTTGCAAAGATATATATGTAGTTAGGGAAATAATATTCGTAACTCTAAAAGGTGATTCCTTGGATTATTCTAAGCAAAAAGCTTCATTATAATCGAAAATCAACCGTTCTGGAGCAAAAAAGTACTGAACTTATTTCTTTTTAGTCATGAAATAAATTAATTATTTAATTTTAAATTCATATGCCTAAAAGCGTAAAATGTATCGATACGTCTATTTATTAATTAACTGTCTCTAACAAAATAATTTTCTTGCTTATTAAATACAATTTTCCGAAGAGAAACAGACACAAAAAATCCCTCGCACAACTGGCAAAGTCGTACTCTGCCTGCATTGCATGAATCGTCGCGTGTTGTTGTGATTGCTAATACATTTAACTGTAACTTTATGTGATTTACGGATGTTGGTCTTTTTTCGTGCATCGAATCGTTTTAAATAAGTGACTGATAATCGTGGGAATTGGTGGTGTGTATCGCCACGTACCGGCCAATTCTGTCATTTTTTTTAAGTAAATGTACTGTACTGAAAGCGTTATTAAATACAAAATATTTGCCACAAAAAATTACGTAAAAGTATTCAATAATTCAAGGCATATTTTCAACAAAAATATCATACAAACGTAAACAATTCGATGAATCAGTTGCAGTCGTCGTGCGCTTGTATCGCAGCTGCGTTGCAGCGTTGCCAAATGTTTGAGAAAATTAAGTTATTTACGACTCGCTTCCCTCGAAAGCGATTGATTTTCGGACATAAGTTGTAATGAACTTTTTTCCTTAGAATCACCTGTTGAAGTTACGGATATTATTCCCCTAACACACTGTATATTTCGACAACTAGACATGCCTAGGTATAGATATTTTATTTAAATTGTGTAAATCTTCCAAGAAGTATTTGTAATCCTTATGAATATCTTGTGGGACAGTCTCATCTCAGGTAGTCTAGACTACCTGTGATTTAAATAATTTTTGTAGCATGGGTTTTGCTTTGATTACTAAACATCTGATTAAACCTATGGGGCCGAATACCTGAGCAATAACAGATAACACTAGACGTCTTGTTAATCTAGTATTTCCCGGTGAATATTCAAGGAATATTGAAAACAGTGTCCTTCTGGTGCCCATAGTATGCCTAATATTTTGACCGCTATTTTCAGAAATATAGTACTCAGCCATTTGATTTAGCTGTACTTTGTCTAGAATACTTCTGTCATTTGACATCCGCAGCCTTAAATTAAATCCGTTGGAAGTATATTTTGAATATTGATCTTAAGCCTTTTGGCGTCCCTGATTAGGTCACCCATGTAAAAGTCGGACGAGATTACCTCAGATGCAGCAGGGATATGCATCGCTAGCAGGTAGATGAAACGTACGCGTAGCTAAATATGATGCAGGCATTGTCACATATAGTATGTCACTGCATTCAGTAGATAGGGGCCAAGTGGTTCATTTGGGCTTTCGCGCCACAATACACACTAATACAAGGGTTCATTAGTATTTGTCCATACATTTTGGTTATGTCTGCCTTAATGATGTAGTTATGTGTCCTGAATCTCAAATCATGGTAAATAGATCATCTTGAATTGTCGGCCCGACACAACACATATCATTTAAGGACAAACCCGATTCGGTGCGTGATGATGTATCTGTTTTTTGTACGAGCGCTAAAGTCTTTGTTCCTCGCTAGAGTATTTTGAGGTGATAATTGGAGTTTCCTCAGTAAGCCAAAATTTCTGTAACTAATTTTGAATATCGTCCGATGCATTTAATGGAAGAAAGCAGTTTGATTGATTTTCAGATTGGACATTGATTTTTCAAATTGGACGTGGACACTATAGATGTGATTTTTGATGAATTGGATGATTTCGACTTAACTTAAATTGACCGAAGCACAATAACTCATAAAATACTGTAATACTGAGCAACATGTCGATTTTTCGCGTATAATTAGACTGTGGATCGGCTAGAACTATGTTTTCCGGTATACTCAAAATGTTCAACAATAAATGATTCTGTTGGTATTAGACCAGAGATCTTATTTAAAAGATATAATATAACGATTTAATTTTTAAGTTTATGCTATGCTTGGTGACTAAAGTACTCTGATTTATTCCTACAAAGTGTAGACCGATATTATTTAATTTAATTCTCAATATTTGTGATAGTTCTCTTGGAATAAAGTTACTCCCACTTCCACAGTCTATCAAATATCTATCTGCACCTTATAGGTTGATTATATTTATCAAAAATGTAAATAATTGCTGATTTTGCGCACAATGGGTGTTTAGGCTTGCATGGTTTTCGATATTAAACATGTCTGCAACAGCTGGACAAATTTGATGAGCAAAAGCTGAAAGGTTGCTAATTCCCAAAATGGCGGCAACATCTGAATCTAGTGAAGTATTACGTTTCTTCCCACAAGTTCCAGAACTGGTCTCAAGACACATTTAAATGCAAGCAATTTCTGCATAAATTGAACCGCTTAGTGTCGGATAATCTTCTATTATGGGATAATCCTTGTAATTTCAAGAAATGGAATATTGAAATTTGATTTGAATTGACCAATAATCACATTTAGGGTGATGACCCGAAGAAACATCGGGATTTCCAGAATGACTGGAAAAAAATTCTGAAGCCATTGACTTCTGGAGGTTAGGGACTTACAAAAATCTTCAACATTTGGAGGTCTTATAGAATATTTACTTTCAACTAAACTTTACCAAGTCAACTGCTGTTGCCTAATTTAGATATTTCTAAATATAAAAGAATTGAATTCCAACATAATTTGCCATCTGACATCGTAATTGTCTTCAGTAATTTTTAATGAATGTATAACTCTAACGGCTTCACATTTCGAACAAGATATTAAATAATGTAGTTTTTGAACACTCGACAGAGAATTATTTGGATGAATTAAAGCTACAAATGTATCACGTACGTTCTGGCAGGATAACAAAATGCCGCTTAGAAAGTTTAGAAATTTAAAGTGCATCCGTAGAGAGCTCAGCTTTGCCAAAATAGTTTTTCCCAACTTTATTTGTAGTGCGATTTCAAAATGAATTGCACAATAACTTCACCACATTTTCTCCTAACATAATTAGAAATTCAATGTGTCCTACAGCATCAACATTATTTTTTCTTATAGAGGCCACATTGGATTTTTGCAAAGATTAATAAGGTTTGATTATGATTCCAGAAATGAATAATGTGTCATACAATGACATTGCGAAACCTTATTCCAGAAAAATAGAATTTTCTGGTAGGACTGGACATTATCAAATAGCCATTTGTTTCATAAACCAGACCAGACCTCAAATTTTGTGTTCAGATTCCGTCATACCTCTTTATTTCCTTGCAATTTTCGTTTAAACAACAAATTCATGAACAACTAAGAAAATGCATCATTGAATTTAGGACTGGAAAGCCATCTAGTATACAACATTCAAATATAATTTAGATAGAAGTCGAAAGAAGAAACCTTGAATTGAAAAACCGGCAATTACAACATACAGTTTATTTTGAAATTTCAACGCATACCTAGGAAATTCTGTTTTTTTTTCAAATAACTGAGGCTTGGCAATGTTAATGTATCACATGTAATACATTTTTAGAATCACAAATAAAAACTCCATTCACCGATCCAATATGGATTCTAAAAGAAAAAATAAAGTTGATGATTGAGAACAAAGGACGAAACCCGAAACATCATATTAAAATTCTACTTATGCCAGCTTATAGAGCAGAAAAAGTGGCAATGTTAATCTGCAATTTATTCTGAAATCCCACTACAAATAGGGTTAACTAAAACGATTTTGGGACAATTCTGTTTTTTCCGTCCCTCTCCGGAAGCACTTTGAATTTCGAAACTTTCTAAACCGCATTTTGTTAATAATCTAAATACGCAAATTTGTTTCCTCATTCAAGCGACTTCGTATCTTTTACAGTTACAGAAACAGTCGGTATGTGAAAAAGAAAGATGTATGAAAAAGAATTAGCACAACTTACACCATTTTAAAGGAAGATATAGGCTGGAAATAAAGTACACTTACTCCTGTATCAAGCGGCATCCAATAGTCCAATAGAACGGACAACGATGTGTTCATCTGTGTCTTGCACTGGTTGCACTTCTTGATTTAATTGCTGATCACGCACTGGATCTGGCTCGAAGGACCTTAGATATATACAAAGCGCAATTAAAATGCAATCAGGGTTGGTCTAGCCCCGTGGAAGGTCCTCCCCTATAGGTCGACTTTACAGGGTTGCCAAGGTTCATCTACCTTCTCAAAATATCCAAGTTGGGATGTACCTTCGGTACAACCGGATATGCTTGCATTTTATAGATATTTAACCGAATTTCTGTTATCAGTTTTCCTATAAACCCATTTCGATAACTGTCAACTTCTCAAATAATCGATCTACTGATGGATCTCTACGTTCCTCACTGACTGTCGTATAAACTGGCGGCCAATGAAACATGGAAATTAATCAGTGAAAAAGCCAGAGGATTGATTTCAGATGTTGAGTTGCTGATATCTCAAAACTGTCCATAGCCAAGCGGTGGTCCGTCGGACGCTTTTGATCTACCCACACGTCAAACACTACTTAATCCAGAGCTTTCAGCAAGTTCAGCATAAGTATTTTGCCATGAGTGTGTGCAGGGTCCTTTTAGGTTCAATATTTGAGAGAAACTCCTTAAAAAGCTGCATCTTTTCGCTTTGAGACTAAAGTTTAACATTGAAATAATTATAAGTGGGTTAGGAAAGTGATGATGACCAGATTCATTATTTGAATAATAATTTATTTCCTGGTTCACTCCAATTAGTGGCATAGACATTTACAATATCCAGTATCTCGAATCGGAGGTGCTATTTTTAGAGAAACTTCACGTCCTCGTAGGTACTGTCCTGCTCCAGATGTAGATGTCTTCTAGATCTCCCTGTATTAGTCGTTCATCGATTCCAATAAAACCGGTGCTATTGTCCAGCCACAAATTTTATTTTTATATTCTTAGAGCTAGTCACAACATAGTTAACACAGATAAAAATCAACACGTTTAATAATCATCTAGAACAATCATAAGCTGTTGTATGATACATGTATTATATTTATGTATATTAACATTTATTAGATATGGTTTCTTTATTACTTAGGTTCAGTTCTTAAAAATAAATATTTCATTCTGTTGTATCCATATATCAATGTCTAGACTAGGTCATTTGATAGCTCCTGAGCCCTCCTGTAGTTCTGGATCTGGAAAAAAATAATTACTGTAAGAAACAAAAATGATCTTTTAATTGCACAATAACGAAACTGCACTTATACTGCCTGGACAGCAGAAAAACTGAGAAGAAATAAAAAAATAAATCTAATTAATATTGTATTTAGTAAAGTGTGCGAATAATAACCTAGAATAAAATAATTTTACAAATTAAATTGTTTATCTAATTTTATAATTAATTTCAAGTCATGCTAATATACAAGAAAATGAAAAATGAAATGTTTTTTGCCTTGTACACTCTGTGAAAACCAAAAGGTGGTCAATTTTGCCCTAAAAAAACAAAATTGAAATCGGTTTGAAATGAACTAATCTCAAATTACTCTTCAAGGAGTTAGGTTTTAACTTTGATTTAGATACTTAGCGACTTTAAGTACTATAATATCTAAGGCGTCAGCATACACTCCCCTAAAGGAAATATCTTGGGTTCAAACAGAGCTCCAATAGAAAAGGAATACTGATAATGCGGGTCCTAGTAAGATTGAGTGCACTACGACCCTACCCAGGATTTTGTCGTCTGCCATAAGTCTTCAAAATGCCAGCAACTGGCGTTTTGTTACTAACATTAATGACAATAAAATTTAATTGTGATTACGGTTTTTGCTTTGAAGTAAATGATTTGGATTGTTACCATATATTGTTGTTTTTCTTGTTACGCACTGGTAGAAAAGATATTGTTCCTAACTCTTACGGAAAATGCATTTCACGCACACGACTGCAGTTGGACGAATGACGCAGTGCGTAAAAACTGTCACTTTCGGCACTTGTTAGGAAAATAACTATTTCCCAGGTTCTACAGATTTCCGGATTACTGAGCGAAGTTGTATCTATTTATTTTCGTTAAAATGATTTGCCATGAGATAAGGAATACCTCAGTACCAATGGCAGGAAGGCGGATGGCAGTAATGAGCCACAGTGGAAGTTTTAATTAAATGTGAAAGAATTATCATCCAAGGTGGTGTTAAGGAGTCCTGACAATACGTTTCTCCTCCTAAACTAACCATTTGGATATTCTTCTCGTTTTTATAGGTATTTGGGTATACGTATTCATGTCCGTAATTCAATCCTTTGAAAAAATAATTTAAGATGAAAATCCACTTCGAGTAGATGAATTCTTCCATCTGGCTCATGTATTTGAATTTCACTAAAGCTTTGAATGTATCTGGTGCAACAAAGATATTGAAATCAAGAACTAGTTAGATTAAAGTCGGCCTTCTCAAGGCAGTGCAACCGCGGATAAGAGTGTCAGGATTTCCGGCTTATACGTGTGTCGTGTAGATCACGAGATGTTGAAAATAGAAGTAGGAGGGGATGACCTTCTCACCTAGTGTTATAAAGATAAGAAGTTTAAAAAAGAGGTATCACACGACGCCAAATTCCGTTTAAGAAATGAGAAAAAAAGTAAGCTGCGAACATGCATAACCAAAAAATTAAACGGATCAAGTTAGCCAAAAAGACACATGCGATTAAAATTTGCTTATTTGCCATGTTTTTTGTAGAATTTTTGGAGTCATTAGGACTTAGCTCCATGAGAAAATATGCTCTCCATCTTTCAAACAGGTTTGGAGGTAGGCGATATCAGACAAAATTTATTTCTTGTCGATGGATGGTCGGAAATATGTCTTTACCATTCTAAGTTCTAGGGATAAATATACGAGGAAATCTGTGATAAGTGAAATATGTCTAAAAGGTGCGTAGAACTATCACGGCTGGTATAAGTATACCACTGTCTAATAATTAAGATATGGCCTTCCTCGCCCCCGACACCCTCCAATCGCAATTTTTACCACTTACAATTTTTTCAAAATTGATCCGGATCCTTTGAAACGTAAAAAAAACGATTTTTATTCTTTTACTTTTTGCCCCTAGCTCTCCCGTAACAGGATCGATTTCGTCCTTGGCATAGTAGTAGCCTTCTGTGGAAATTTTACCAAAATCCAACCGGCACTTTCCAAGTTGTAGAGGGGTCAAGGATTATCGAACAGACAGACAGACTAACGGAAATGAGTGACATGGTTATTCGTGACGTACATGTCATATAAAGCCCAAAAAACAACATATCTCATTTTCGAAATTTTTCACGATTACTACACTTGCGCCTGTGACGTAGGAAGTAAAATTATTCCAAAATGGAGCGAACTGCTACGTTTACGCTAAAATATGGTTTTCAGTCATTAATTTTGATAGCACAGGGTAAAAGAGCAATTAGATAACTAAATTATATTCTATGAAGTACTAGAGTGACAAACAAAATAAAAAAAACTGGTATTCAAAGCTATAGTAGAAAGTATCTGTACCTATGGCTCAGAAATATGGGTGATGACAAAAAGAAATAAGGAGAGGTTGATGTCCCTGTAAATGGTTTACTGGAGAAGAAGTTGCGGAATTTAGAGACTAGAACATGTTAGGAACGAAAGAATTAGACAAATTATAGAAGTAGACCACAACATTTTAGAAACGATTGAAACAAAAAGATTACTTTGGTATGGTCACCTTCAACGTATGTTTAACACAAGATGGCCAAAAAAGTGTATGAGTGGGTACCACCAGAGCGTCGCAAACGTGGTAGACCTGCAAGAAGTTGGAAGCAAGATGTTGAAGAGTCCATGACATCCAGAGGACTCTGAGCGGGAGACTAGATGGACTGGAAGATGTGGCGTTTGAGGAGCGGGAAACGACAGTAGTCGTAATAAACCCGAATACATACACATATATATACAGGGTTATCCAAATTAAGTGTCCACCATTAGTAACTTTGTTATTAGTGAAAATACAAAGTTGTTTGAATTAGCAAACTAGTAGCATTTTTAACGCTGGTAAAAATGAGAAATAAAAAAAAAACAATTGAGAGTCGTTATTTTGATTTTTTTCAGTAAAATAACATTTTTTTAAATGGAAACCCCTGTATATTATATTTTTTTCTGTTAAAGCATCAAATTTTAAACAAAAAAGCTTACAATAACTTTTCTCCTAGGTTACAAATTGTTGAAGTTATGGCCTCCAATCTGAAACAATTAAATTGTATCGACAAACTTTATTTTCAACATCAACTTATAATCTTACAAAATACAATAACAATTTTTTTTAAAGAAGATGCTCGAAAACAACACCTTGTTCTTCAATACATTTTTGGGCACGTTTTTCAACTGCTCGAACTGTCTTAAGTATGGTCCTACCATCTATCTGGGTTATCTTTTCTCTAACTGCAGTCTTTAACGCGTCAAGGTTACCGTACCTTCGCTTGTAAATTTGGTTCTTTAAGTAACCCCACAAGAAGTAATCAAGTGGGTTTAGATCTGGTGATCTGGGAGGCCACTGTATTGGGCCATTTGTTCCTATCCACTGATCATTAAAAGTAGTACTTAGAAAATGATAAGTACCTCTGGAGTTGTGGGCAGGTGCGCCATCTTGCTGAAAATGCAGATGATGTCTACTTATAAGATCCAATTCGTCTAAGAAATTAGTCAGAATTTCTGACATAAATTCCACATATCTTTCACCAGTTAGGGTTCCCTCATAAAAGAACGGGCCAACAATTTTTGAACCAATTATACCGCACCAAACGTTGAAACTGAAACGGACTTGTGGGCCTCTTGGATGTACTAACAAAAGATTTTCTCTTGACCAATAATGGTGGTTTTTTCTATTAAACATTCCAGAATTTGAAAAATTTGATTCATCTGTCCATAAAAGGTAACGAAAGTTATTTACATTTTGGCGACAGAAGCTAAGATACCAATGGCAAAAAACAAGTCTTCTCTCTGGATCCCCTGCCAAAAGCGTTTGAACTGGTCGGTACTTATACGGAATAAATTTGTATTTTTTTAAAATCCTTTGAACAGTACCATAACTGAAATTAGAGTCCTTGAGAATATCTGCTATTGAATTCTCACGATAAGCTTCAAAATATCCAATAACTGCAATTTCCGTGGCCTCGCTTATTATGAATTCTTTTTTTGCCCTTGTTTTAGCAAAAACATTTTCGTTGCCCCTAAATTTTCGATAAAGTCTCAGAAAATATCGTTCATACGGTTGAATGCGAGCGGGATATAATTCACTGTAGTATTCTCAAGGAGGATTTTCTGCACACTAAATAGCATTCTAACATATCACACTTTTCTTCATGGGAGAACATTTTTCTTTAAATTAATGACACAATAAAGCTTATAAACAAGTATTTACACTAATGTTTGACATTATTTGATTTTATCATTGTTTTCCAAAGCCTTCTAGTTGCGAGTATGTCCAGTTTAACAATTTGTCGCTTATCTTAATGCTGTCAAATCGCGAACGCCATGTTGTTTTCATAGCCGTCTTAATATTATAATACTGCAAATAATTAAAAATATTTATCGTTATTTTGACTTTATTTTTGACTTTAGCGGAAAAGTCATTATGAACTTTTTTGTTTAAAATTTGATGCTTTAACAGAAAAAAATATAATATACAGGGGTTTCCATTTAAAAAAATGTTATTTTACTGAAAAAATAACGACTCTCAATTGTTTTTTTTTATTTCTCATTTTTACCAGCGTTAAAAATGCTACTAGTTTGCTAATTCAAACAACTTTGTATTTTCACTAATAACAAAGTTACTAATGGTGGACACTTAATTTGGATAACCCTGTATATATATATATATGCATTAATTTCGTTACCCCGAATTTCAGCTCGCTAGTTCCGTCAAATACTGTAATTGGCATCAACAAAATATATTGAGTCAAATAAAAATTCGATGGAATGATACTCATACATGAAGGAAAGTTGTAGACCGTTGCTCGCATCTGTTCGACAGAGCAGCTCAGTGCGGATCCAGGGAAGATATCCTGGGAGTCTGTACCCTCCCAAAAATATCCTAATTCAAAAAAATGTATTTTTTAAGACGACCTCCCCCCTGGAATTTTTAATCGACGCTTGTCCATGTTTAATTGCCGGTACCCCCTCTCCCACCGTACAATTTTCAATTGCTGATACTCCTTCCTTGAGACGGACATCTTCCTGAACATGAATCGTGTGCCTCCTTGGCATTTTTTTAACGGGTAATTTAAAATTTGCCATATGAATCCCTCCCAAAAATCTTTTTTAAATCCGCCCCTGGTGCGGCTAATAAAACCCCAGCAATTCACTCTGGTTACGTTTTCCACTGGCAAGTCCATGCCACTTACTCGTACTGTTGAAAAGCGTAACAAATTCCCGAAGTCTTATTACAGTACGTGATGATCGGATTTTATTACGGTATGTGAGGTATCCTGGTACAGCACACATTCATTTCTTTTAAAATTGATTACTCCGCGGCAAGTTTATTTTTTTTAAAATATGTAGGATTTAACAAGTTTTTTTTTATCATACTGTCAGTAAACGATGTAACCCGTCCCCTACTATAAGGAAAAACAACAGACAAAAAACTAAAATTTAAAACACACTTCATCTCCAATTCAAAAATCAAATCAATGATTTCGTCGCAAAAAAACGTGATAGGAATTACAAATGAGATTGTTTAGATTGTTTCTAATAATAGCTACCAGAATACTCTGCCGTACTTAGGCATCAGTTCGCGTACTGCTTTTATTAAATTTTGACTCCAACACCTAGATTTCCTTTATGCTTACAACTACAGTATATATAACATTGATACGTTATCTAACAAAAATAGTTATTTTTTCACTTTGTCAAATATTTCATATTAATTACATTCCCTGGACATAGAAGCTGTAAACCAATTTATCGCAGAAAAAGGCTATATTGCTATTATTCTCCGTATGATACAAGTTTAGTTTTTTGTGTAATAATTATCTTATTTGTGAATGACTATTTATCATTATAAAGATTTACCTTCGCCCCGAAAGATTAATTTTGGAAAATATTCTTCGTTTAACTTAAATAAGAAAACATTGTGTTTTTAGTTTATTTGTATAATTATTTATATAGAACGTGATTATTAAATGTAATTACATCTATGATTATTAAATTGGTTTATAAGATCATGGAAAGATTTAATTTTGTGCAATTTATGTGAATTTTAGTATGAATAAATGATATTAAAATAAAATAGAATTTTGCATTTTAATTTGAAACAATAATATGAACAAATTATGAAAACTGTTTGCAGGGTATAAAACCAGTGAATCACATGTTACTGTTTTTTTATTTACGACAATTAAAGACGTCCTTATTATTTTAGGCCTCGACAAACAATTATGATCCAAAACCGCATTTAAATGACACTCAAATTCATGTAAATTTTGGCTTGTCTTAACAATACCATTCATTTGGTTAAAAAGGTATCCAGAACTTTGAACGCAATTTTTTCTGACTTTACCTAAGTATGGCAGTATTTTATTTTGAAGTTTCCTAATGATTGAAATAAAATTGCTTTATAATTTAGTTTTACTAACCCATTGCCTGATAACCTTGGAGACGTTCTCAACCTGCTGCCTGGTCAGTTCCTTACTCGCGCTGTCTGATTTGTAGCCTGTAGCTCCTCTAGAGCCTGTTAATATGTACGCCGGATCACTTACACCGCTATGTTCGAGATAACGGACCTCTTCTCCAAGGCTTCCTGGTGTATCTTCAACTGCTGAGGAGGCCCTTTTCCCCATGCCTCCATAGCAAGAGTGGCCAAAGTTTACGCAGCCGCCTATAAGTAAAAACAGCCTCAGGAACAACGAAAATAGTGGCATAAAGTAGGTTGAAACTGTGCATTTCAGGCAACGCTCTCATCAGTTCATAAAAGATTAGGTTCGTCGCAAGTTAGATTTTCTGTGGAAAAATTAGCTATGAATGTGTACAAAAGAGAAATTAAACGGTGAAACCAGTCAAACAGCTTATACAGGGCGGCGCATCGAAAACGAAACAGACGTATTTACTGGCAGCTCAGTTTTTTTTTTGGAAAAACGGTCAGACCCGTCGATTTTGTTTTCGATGGGGACACAAGTTTTTCAAAAAGTCACGTTAACACGTGCAGCCCCCTGGACGGGGGTAACACCAATCCTAAAATCTTAAATGCAAAGGGGGGTCGAATGATACCTTATTTTAAAGGTCTTTCAATTTCCTTTATAATGATATAAAATTAATGTACTTCAGTTCAGTAGTTGAAGATTTATTGATTTAAAGCTTACAGTAGACTTAAATAGGTGCATTAGATTAGTTTGTACTACTTTCAGAAGAAATTTGATTAAAAGAATTTACTTAACAAGTAAATAATAATAATAATATTTATTTACTCAATGTACAAAGATAACAAAAAATGCTTTTCTTCACTACGCCATGGTTTGTTTATCATTTTGTTGTTGAAAATAGCTATTGGAGCGTTTTTTTGTGGCAAAAAAGTTATTTCTTGAAGAAAGATAAGGAAATATCTCGTACTTATTTTAAATAGGAATTTAGAACATAGTTTGCGATTGATTTGACCAAACTTTGTTGCTAAGATAACTTGTAATGCTTTATTACATAAATTAACCATATAAAAATATTTAATGAGCGACATGAGAACAGCAACGTGCATCGAAAATATGTTCTAGAACTTGTAGCTAAATTTCGGGAAACTGGGTCAATCGCCAATAAAAAACGCGACATTGAATATCCCATAAGGAACGAAGCAATAGAAGTAGGGGTTTTAGGGCAAGTCTATGTACATCCTACGTTAAGTACTCGCAAATTGGAGACTGTGTGTGGTGTTAGTCGACGTACTGTCCAACGGATTCTAAAGGCCCATAATTTTCATCCGTTAGAATTCACCTGGTACAAGAACTTAATGAAGACGATTTTGATCGGCGATTACAATTTTGTGAAGATATCAGTGATCGAATTATAAACGATGAACATTTTCTATTCAACACTTGCTTTTCCGACGAATGTTCCTTTTTCTCAATTGGCGTAGTAAATCGTCATAACTGCCAATATTGATCCGATTCTAATCCCAGAATTTATCATGAGGTTCATACAGAGCAGCCACAAAAATTAAATGTTTGGGCTGGTATTTTTGGCGATCATTCAGTTGGTCCTTTACTCTTACCTGGAAATTTGACCGGTGAAATGTAGTTGGAATTACTGGAAGACGCCATAGATCCTGCATTAACAGCCATAACTGAAAATCAGAATGATCGGCGGTACATGTTCCAACAGGATGGTGCCCCACCACATTACGCATTACGGGTTCGACAATATTTAGATCAGACGTTTCCAGATCGATGGATTGGTAGAAGAGGTGCCATTGAATGGCCCCCAAGATCGCCAGATACATCACCTTTGGATTTCTTTATGTGGGGTCATTTAAAAAGCAAAATCTATGCTACTCAGCCAACATCCTTAGAAGACCTCCGGCAAAGAATTGTGAATGAGTGCCTTCAAATTACTCCTCAAATATTGCAAAATGTGCAGCAACGTTTTGACCAAAATCTTTATTATTGCATGGAGAGTCATGGATGTATTAGTTTTATTTAAGCTTTGCATGAATAAATCTTCAAACCTACTGAACTGAAGTACATTAATTTTATATCATTATAAAGGGAATTCAAAGACCTTCATAATAAGGTATCACTCGACCCCCCTTTCCATTTAAGATTTTGGGGGTGGTGTCACCCCCGCTTAGGGGGCTGCACGTGCTAACGTGTTTTTTTGCCAAACTTGTGTCCCCCTCGAAAACAAAATCGACGGGTATAAGCGTTTTTCAAAAAAAAAGCTGAGCTGCCAGTAAATGCGTATGTTTCGTTTTCGATGCGCCATCCTGTATAAGTGGTCCATAGGTATCTTTTCTTAGGCTTTGCAAGACGCAAGACGACTGCATTTTTTTGCAAGACTAAGAGCAAGACTTGATCCGCAATTTGATATTTATATGTCCTTATTTTTAATTAAATTAATTAATCAAGACTACGTTGCAAGATTCTTACGATCTTGCAAAAACTATTTGCCCAAAATATTGACACCTGACAATTTCTCATTTGAATTATGACAGTATCTCGAGGGTATTAACTAAGTAGTTGAAAAACTATATGGTAGAAAAATTTACGTTTGGTTCGGAGAAAGTTTTTCGTACACATTTCTCCAATTTTTAACATATCTACACAAGTTTCTCGTAATTACTGTAATATTCTGTACCCTTATCATTAGAAATGTTACACAAAAAATTCTACTTTTTATATATTCAGACATTATACAGTGATTTTTTTATGATGCATCACAGGGATCTACATGCTAAAATTGTGACCGTTGGCTTTTGTTACAGAACAGATTAGGATCCGAAATTCTCTAACTGTATATTCTGAAGTTTCGGCTATATGGTAAGTACACTTTTTCTCATAATATAAGCACATACCTGTATTATAAAAAACCAGTTTTATAGAAATATTTGTTTTGCATCATCCTCGTAACCAGAAGCTCTATGTATAACACAGACTTTGGTAGTATCGGAATATTTTGAACATATTATTTTTCAAATATACACGGTGTTTCAAATTCGATCCTCACCATTGGGATCTCGAAAACTGTAAGAGATACGAAGTCGCATAAGTTGGAACAAAGTTACGTATTTAGGTAATTAGCTTAGAAAGATTCTAAATTCAAAGTATTTCCGGAGAGAGATGTTAAGAACCGACTTTTACTAAAATCGTCTTAATATTTTACTGATTTTATTTGTAGTGGGGTTTTAAAATGACACGTTGCTACTTTTTCTCCTCTACAAGATGCCAAAATTAGATTTTGACGTTTTGTCTCTTGTCCTCCAGCATCAACATTATTTTTTCTTAAATACACGATATTGGACTTTTGCGCACATGGAAAGAGTATTTAATGATGATTCCAAAAATATGCAATACGTCTTACTTTGACATTGCCAAACCTTAGTTATTTCAAGAAAACAGAATTTTCTAGGTAGGCCATGTTATGAACATTTATTTCGCATACCGAATTTCAATATTTCCCCTTTCGACTGTGCTTTTTCATATAGACGCTGTATTGGAATTTGATACATTTAGATGGACTTTTTAGTCCAAAGTTCAGTGATGTATTTCCTTACCTGGTCATGAATTTCTTTTTGGATGAAGATTAATTATAATAAAAGGGTATGGTGAAACCTGAACACTACGTGAAAATTTCATTAATGATAATAACAATAATAACCATAAGTACGCAGAAATAAATCATAACAGATGTTCAAGATGTTTTGTAGCCAAAGCCTGACTCTTCTTTATGCATGCTCGAGAAATCTCTTTTCTTCTGAGTCGTCCAAACTGTGTTTGCTATGTTCAACTTGAGGTCTGGTCTGGTAAAAGAAGGAAATCAAATCTGATAATTTCAATGGCTAACTAGGAAATTCTAAAGGGTTGGCAATGTCCATAAATTAAACATTATACATTTTTGAAATCAGAATTAAAAACTCGACTGCGCAGAAGTCCAATATGCCGTCCATAAGAAAAAATGAAGTTGATGCTGGAGGTCCAGAGACTAAACGTCAGTCATATTGGAATTCTACTTATACCACTATGTAGAAAAGAAAAAGTGTCAATGTTAATGTGCTCTTTCTGGAAGTACTTTGAATTTCGAAACTTTATAAGCGAGTTCGTATCTCTTACAGTTTCGGAGATCCCAATGGTTAGCGCCGAATTTGAGACACTCTGTATACGAGGGCTGATCACAAGTAAATTTTTGCATAAGAATTTCTTTTCTTGCAAATCAGGATGAAACTAATTATTTGGAACATGGTCTGAATAAATATAGGACATTAAGCTTAATTGCTCTAAAATGAATGACGTGTCGCAATCATTGAAGTCCGAAGCGGAAATGGAAACAGAAACTACTAAAATATCGAGATTTTTTACATCTCGGGAATTAAATTTAAATCAAATTATCAATATTTTACTTGAGCATATTGGAATCAAACAGTTTCTTTTAACTTATTAGACGATTAGCTTCTTTATGTTTTATATCTCAAAGTATTTTGTTTTTTTCCAATATCTATACTAAAATCATATTTATATTGGTGAATATCTTCAAAATGGCTCACTTTCTTGAAACAAAGGCAGTATGTTTTTTACTTAACTTTTTTGTCTTAAAACATATTAAAAATATTAATATAAGATTACGTCTTAAATATTGAATCTTCATGTTGTGCTACATGTCAAAAAGACAAAATATATACAAAATTTTACATTCTTTGTGTATATTGTGCAGGAACCTTTCTGATCATAAATTTTCACCCCTCCTGAGGGTAGTTTTTGAGCCAGGAGGTAAAAGCTAGGCTATTTGGATTCAGCGTTCAAAAATATATAGAGATATCATAGCATGTCTCAAGGATCTCGACCGTTTTTTTTTTTGGGGTAGTGTTGTGCTTCAAGATTGTGCTAAGGACGTCAATAGATGGCTTTTAGTGATACTGGTAGTACGAGGACACAGGAAAATTATTGGTTGATCATTTTCATATTCGAACATCAAAGCGACTCACAAAAAGACGCTTTTCGGTTATAATGACGAAGGTGCTTGATTTGTTGAGAACTGAGTCAATTTAGTTTATCATCCGCACGCTTGCAAGGTGAAAAGGGCTAGGCAATTAGACTTGTAAATTAACATTACCTCCAGCGGTGGTTCGTGTGAAAATGATACTCATATGTTTTTCCTCGTGCATACAGCAAAGGTGAATTGCGGGTCCTATATTTCCGCTTCGAAGATAAAAGCGAGTCGTGTCTTTGTTTATTTGTATCCAACACTACCTGTAGTTATAAACATCATATAATTACTCGTAAAAGCACCCCCATGTTCCGTGAGGTTGAGCTGAAACTCTTGCAGACACGAAAATGAATCCGTGGGTGAAATTTGGAGGTATATTAAAAAAAAGGACGCCGAGTAGGTTGACTCTGCACTTCCCACGCAACATTATCATTAGTTTATAAACCATTATGTTCGGCATAGGTCCCTCTGAACTAGCTATAAACATGTATAACAAAAAAATTAAATGATTCGAGTCAGCCAGACAGGCTCATACAACTAGTCCATACTCCATATTCCCCACTCATTTGATAACGCTAACGATAGTTTCTTCCCTGCTTTAAGTATAGACCATCTGGCAACCGTGTTGAACCACACTAGTGTATAATATATCCAACGAACGTACGGAGTAATACATTTTCGGTAGATAAGCTGCCAAGTTCACAATAGCACTTTCATTGTTTCCAAAGGTCTGTAGCGTGCGGTTGATTTTGTTTTTGGTGCGCTTCATTTATTTTTGTGAGACTACTTTTAAAATGATATTTCGACATGAGTGCCTTATTAGACGAGGGCCAATTACCACGAAAACGGACAAAAAGAGCTTTGCTGGTTTCTGAAGGCATAATGTTCCTTTTGACAACGATATGATCAAAGCAGAATTTTTAAATCTGGTCAAGGGCAAAAAAAGTCGAAATGGCTAAATCTACCAATCGGACTATTTTACGCCTGCGTCCATATCATTGCGAGTTTAACCCAATCGAGTGAATTTAATAATAAACGGTCAGAATTATTCATGATTGGAATAATCCACTTTAAAGACCATCCATATAGAGCCGTCGAAATAAACGTGATAATGAATGCAGGTAGATTTATTATTAGGTATAATATTAAAGAGATCCAGAATCCAATCTGAAAATGAATTTAATTTTTGAGACCTTTTCTTTACTTTTTTCCCATGTACTAAAATTATTTTTGTAATATAAAAAATATGTAAAGTTAACTTATCATAAACTGGGGCAGCACATTTAATATACCAATGTAATAAACCGTATAGCACCTTGGAAGTAATGGAAAGATAGAAGAAACAGTGAAAATAAATTAAATGGTACCTCAATGAATTTTAAAACCTACACGCTACTGGCGATACCGCGTCATTGGTTTTGCAGGTAGTTGTGCGGCGTAAATCGAGCTGCCCTGTCACTTGTTTTAGTACTCCGTACGTTTGTTGGATAAATTATACAGGGTGTTCAAGAACTATGGGATCAAGCTTGTAGGGATTATTCAGCGTAACAGTAGCAAACAGTTGAGTATAGGGACCCATATCCGGCGCTTGTGTGTTGTTATCTCTGAAAAAGATAACAGAGATTGTCGTTGCTGCTGCACTCCATATCGTCTTAGTCGTGCTATCGTATTTGCGAAGTTTGCAAGAATTAAGCAAAAATTATATGTTGCTAATGGAAAACTTTACCAATCAAGAATTGGCGGATATGTATTTGGCATACGGAACAACAAAATGCAATGCATAAGCAGCAGGTTGTATCAAGAACGTTATCCCGAATGACAGCATCTGGGATACAGAAAGTTTATTGCTATTCATCGGCGGCTCTCCGAGATAGGCACGTTTAAAGTCAACATGCATGACACTAGTGTTGCTCGAACCGTAAGAACGGTCGAATTTGAAGAAGAGGTTCTTCAGCGAGTTGCCGACGAACCATCATGTAGCACATGTCATATTCCTGAGGATATGGATACGAGTAACGCTTCCGTCTGGCGGGTGATACACGAGCAACAACTTTATCCTTACCACTTCCAGAAAGTTCCAGGAACCAAATGTTGTACGCTATGTTTTATGGACCCATGAAGCCTCTTTCACAAGACACGGTATTTTTAATAGTAGGAATAGCAACGTATGGGCAGGCATTGTTGATGATTATTTGATTAGTCCATATCTTCTACCGGAACGGTTAACAGGACCTATTTACCGGCGTTTCTTGGAGGAAGTTCTTCCAGAACTTCTAGAAAATTTTCCATTGAACGTTCGACAGCAAATGTGGTTTCAGCATGATGGAGCGCCGGCACACTTTGCTGTACAAGTACCTGAATATTTGACTCAACGGTTTGGGCACCGTTGGATTGCCAGGGGTGGAGCAGTTTCTTGGCCTCCTAGGTCACCCGGTTTAACGTAGCTAGATTTTTTCCTGTGGGGACATGTGAAGTCTTTCGTTTACGAAACTGCAGTAGAAACAGAGCAAGACTTAATTGGACGAATTACAGCAGCATTTGAAATCATGCAAAAAAAGTATCGAATTTTTAGTCAAGTCCGCTGAAATCACGTGCGACGTTTAAATCGGTGGGCGGCAGCGATGGCCGCAGTAGTAGACTCTCTTCGGTCTCCTGATCAGTCGCCGTGCGCTGTGCGGGTTCGTATCCCGTCCCAAGAGAAATTTTTCTCTTGGCTATGGATGTTGTGATGGTCTGTAGGTCTCTGACTGTCGAACGCAGAGGTACCACCCGGCGGATCTCTTAAGCGGGGCCAGAATGTGTGCATGTTGCATCCACACGTGTTCCCTCGCCAGAGTCCGTGTGGCGTCCCCCCTTTCCCCTGTATCCCCCTATAGCGCCACGGTACTCCATGGGTATTTAGGCCATAGGCCTTCGTGGAAGTTGGTGTATAAAAAAAGTGACACTTTTCCGGATATTGGTCCCTATACTGAAATGTTTTCTACTGTTACACTGAATAACCCCTAGAAGTTTGATCCCTTAGTTCTGAAACACCCTGGAGTAACTCGAGAGAACCGGCGATGGGTGTCGCGTCTATAAATATTTCTAGTTTTAGGGCCAAGCCAGTGGCCAAACGTACTGAAAAATTTATGACGTGTGAAGTTTATACCGATAGGTGCGTAAAATTAATCGGGTTCGAAGTGCATAAATATACTGCTGCAAAAAAATGAACATTCCCTCCCCCACACCCTACCCCCATTTCCAACCCCTACAAAAATGTTTCTGAAAATGAAACATCAAAAGCGAAGTTTGAACGGTTTTTATACTCCCGTGTTTTTGCCCCTAACTGGACCGAATTACGAAAACTGCAAAACGTACTCCATTGTGTGTAAATTTCATCGAAATCTGAGGCAATCCTCAAGTTATAGGCAGCTATAAGGTTAGCGGACAGACCGATAGACTGACAGGCAGTCCGACGAAAAGGTGTGTCATGGTTTTCCATGATGTTCTTGTCACATACATCCAAAAAACAAAATATCTTATTTTCCAAAATTATCGCGATTACCATGCGCCAGTTGGCGTGATAAAACTACTGAGAAAAGTGATCATTACGAACTCTTGTAAATACCACCTTAGGCCTTAGGTGAACGCATGCCTTATCTAATGAAAATTAATCACACCAATCAACCTTACTATTAATGGCAGTAATTGAATAAGAGGTCCTCCAACTATTGTCGGTACTTTTAATAACTGAACGGTTGAACGATATTTGGATAATAAAATCCCAACTTAGCAGCTGGCGTTTATCATTCGAAATGGATCTGTGCAAATTGAGATCGACTTAATATAGCAAACAATTAAACTACTTAATTGCTTCGCTTCTACTAAAAATCAACGTTGATGAGCATTCGTTTCAGTTAATTGCAGAGTTTACTGCCAGGCGGGGCCGTAGGGTCGGGGAGATATAATGTGTTAGAAAGCTATTTTGATTTTCGTCTGCCCATCTGCAACAGGCTCAGTAAAACTTGGTTATACGGTTAAAACAAACAAATGGAATGCTAGATATAGATGGTGATTCACAAGTCGTGACCAAAAATTAAACATCATACACAGGACCGCATTTTAAGGGAGGTCTTCTATGAAACATTCTTTCCTTGAAGCTGAAAAATAAAAAAAATGGTCAGTCTCTTTAAAACCGTCATCTGGAATGAACCAAAATTTGGTATGTGGATTTACCTAAGTATTGTCCACATTCAGAAGTGTTTACTTAAAATTAACGTGCACCAGTGGCGGAGTTACAGAGGATTACTGGCAATATTTTTCCAAATAAAAATAGTATGTCACTTTTTTCTTGAAACGCAAACAATTTTTAGAATTTCACCTTCAATTGGCTACAAATAATTACTCTTGTGTTTTTTCCTAGGATGCATTGTTTTCGTAAAAATAAAACAAATTAGACCATTCATGAAGAGCCGAGATACAATTATTAGTTTCAAAATAAAATAGGGCTTCGATATCAACTTGACGTTTCTTGGGAGATTTTCAAAATACAGTTGTTATCGTTACTACTACCATTTTTTTTTTTCGTAAGTATGGAATTGCCAAACTTCCTAGAGCTAGAGGCCATGGTGTCCGGAATACTGTTCAAGGGGAACTGGAAGTGATTAATTTGGCGTTGGATCATCCTAGCACAAGTACTAGACGGATTGCAGCCCTGTTACTATGTTCCCAAAGTCTTTCGTGGAGAATTTCAAATCGGCAATTTTTACATTTTTACCATCGGCAACTACTATCTGCAACCCTGCGACGAAGTGCGTAATCAAAGTGCAGATTTTATTGATTTGGTTTTGTGGTCAGATGAATCGCTTTTTGCTAGGAGTGGAACCTTTAACCCGACAGTGGTCGCTATGTGAGATTTTCTCTCACATTTGTATAGATATATAGATAAGTTCATCCCAGAAAAAAGTTGAGACCCTTTTTATGTCGTCTGAACATGAATGAAAGCCTTTAGATTATCTTTTTTATAGATCTGCAAGATCCTGCGCCTCTATTTATCACTTCGTACGACAATAGTTGTGTCATAATTATTATGAAAATAGCAGGGATTAGAGCAGAAAAAAATTCTCCGCAAGAAGACACAACTCGATTTTGTTACCTTTGTCCTCGTAGAAACAATAGAAAAGTGAAAAAAAGGTGCAATACATGCCAGATGCCGATTTGCCCCGAACACGCAAGTAAATATATGTTTTCTAGCTGCCCAAATGAGCCTAGTGATTCGGACTGATTTTATTTAAATAAAACATATTTTAGTGTATTTCTTTCTTTATGAGAACTTTTGTTAATCATCTTTTCAATTGTTGGCGTTTTTGTGTTTTATGTTAGTAGTTAATGAATAAAATGCGTATTAGGTATATTCTGTAATAAATCATATCAAATCAAATATTTTTTTTAAGACTATTTAAACAGACTCAATTTTGTGCCCAACCAAATGTGAGAGAACATCTCACGCGCTACCGGTGGCAAAAAAAGCGTCTAGCGGGTTAATTCTCATAATGAACATATTTGGTCGTTAGAAAATCCCGGTTCTGTAAGAATCCACTCGTTTCAACACAGATTTTCTAGAAATGTCTGGTGCGGCATTTTCAGTAATAATAATAAACAAATTTATTCACAATTACAACCAGTAATTACAGTAACTCATTTAAATAATAAATGTAAGTGCCAAAAGGGCCAACATACAGAAAAAACTGATACAAGTGCTGATCCGATTGAGGCAAAAATAAAGAACATTATGCCGTGAGAATTTTAAGCGAAGTTGAGGAAGAAAAAATATACATGGTTGAGATCAAATAGACAGAAATACAGAAAAACAGTGACGGAGGATATTACTTCTGCCACATTAATTGTTGGAAGGTTTATTATAATATTAATTCATATATGCGTACATCATTTCATTTTTCAGTTAGTAGTAGATACTTTTTATAGTTGACTTTGAATGATTTGGAAGATAGGTTCTTAAAATGGAAGGGAATATCATTATATATTCTATAACTATTAAATGTAAAAAATCTCTCAAATATAGATGTTCGATGTAGGGGGGACAGATACGGAAGTTACTGCGGATGTTTAAATTATGGTCATCATGCCCAAATTTTATCCTATTCCATAAATATGCAGGCGTTTTGGTAGTAACAAATTTAAGGAATAATGCTGCTGAATGAAATTTTCTACTGGAAGCCATATTGAGCCCACCTCTAGTTTGTGTGATACCCTGTCAAACTTGCGGATGCCGAAGATGAACCTGAGACACGCCTTTTGGATTTTCTGAATTCGTCCGCAATCCATGTTCGTTAAACAGGGTCCATACACGACATCCCAGTAATTCAATAGGGACAAAACTAAAAGGTCAGTGAGAATAATCTTTGATCTAATTGGCAGAATATGGCGATGTGGGAACAAAAAGTTCAACCGAATAAATGCCCTTTGGATGCATTTTTCTGTATCCAAAGCTGTTCAACTGAATCACAGGGAGCAACATCCATAATTTGGAGTTTTATCCGATCCGAAACATAGAATCCTACTCCACCACCTCTACCACCTTTGTCCTTTGTCTTTCCTAAAAAACGTAAATCCGTCAATATGTAACTGAGAATCCCAAATTTCAGCAGTTAACCAAGTTTCACAAATTCCGATAATATCATACTCCTCTTGCATTATGAAATTTCTAAATTCGGTAAAATGTAAAATAAGCGACCTAACATTAATGTAGCAGAAGCTAAACAGAATATACTTATAAAATAAAATACAAAAATAAACAGTAACGTTTCCCTAAGAGAGTTATCGGAAAATAAGAGTAAAAATTTTTCCCAGAACACTACAGAATATAAATAACAAGCTTGGGAACGGTTGATACCGAGTGAATCTCTACATTTTTGACTAACAAACTAGTTAATAAATCATCAATAATTCCTGCAAGAGTACCAGTGCATAAGTGTGAGCCATTAAGAACATATTGTGAGTAAATACTCTACGTTTATGCGATAAATAAGATCAGAATCTGAAATAATTACTTACGATATCTCCGGCGTGCGCTAGCACAGGTAATCCCAAACACAACAAATATTTGCGGATAAGCAGGACCGTATCGAGAAATGATACGGCATCTACCTGGAGTTTATTTCACTATACCATAATGTCATCTGTTAATAACCAAAACTCATCTGAAAGCAACACAACAGCTCAGTCCTACTCAAACGTACTTACTCAAAACACAGTCAAGTACCCAAAAAAGGATCAAGCGATTATATTTAATTCTTCTGATGGAGCTAAGCTACAAGACTACCTACTTTAGCTTGGTCCAATCGTCAACCCGGAAAATATATTGTTCTGTTCCAGAATTTCCAACAACAGAATATGTATATATTTAGCAACTAAACAGTTAGTAGACACCTTTTTAGAGAATCATGGACAAATAGAGGTAAATGGTGAGATCTTGAGAGGACGGAGATTAGTTTCTCCTTCAGACCGTCTAGTGATATCAAATGTGAGTCCTACAGTTCCTCACTCAGTTCTTAATGAAAAACTACTGCAACTAGGTCTGAAACTCGTATCGCCAATTTCATTCTTGAGAATAGGTGCTCCACTTCCAGAGTACAGTCATATTCTGAGCTTTCGAAGACAAGTTTATATAGAACCCAACCAACAGTCCCTAAATATCCCAGACTCCATTGAAATAACTCATGAAAACCTAGCCTACCGCATTTTTCTATCGCTAGATAGTCAAAAGTGTTTCAAATGCAACAAACAAGGTCATATAGCGTCCCAGTGTCCACTACCCTCCCAGCAACGACAAACAAATCCACATGAGACCCAATCTACCAAAGAACCTAAATCAACAAGCACACACCACACAAGCAATCAACAAATAATAACAACAGAGACCCAAGGAACAGCACTATCTCAACATATAGCTAACCCGCGTGAAGCAGATGTAGATCTACCAAATACTAGCCAATCAGTAATCGACAAAAGTTCAATCCCCACCAGAAAAACGCAAGAGCTGATACCAGAAATACAAAATTACACCCAACAAAACAAACCGGATCAACAAAATAGAGTTATACCACACACTTCAACAGGCAGTAAATATATAGCTACTCACAACAACCCATCCTCAAAACGCTACTTCTCAGAAACAATCTCACCGACAACTCCTACGCATGAAAATTCAACCCCTCCTACATTTGCAGTTCCCATCAATATTAAATCAAAGAAACATAAAACAGATATGCAGTCATCCTACATCTCCCAAGACGCTCTAGCAACCGCCAAAACATTCATAGACAACCAGATGCCTGCCCTTCCCTTGAATAGTGACCAGTTTAAAAGCCTTCTCGAGAACAGTCATGGAACACAAGACATCACAAATATAATTAAAGATTATACGGATGACATTAAAGGACTTATAGAAATGATACTATTAGTATACTCCCACATAACCGATAAAACAGTCAAAAACAGATGCACAAGACTCCGTAAAAAGCTAGAACGCTACATTGACAACAACACTAACGAATGCCTTAGTGATACCTCCTCCATAGATTCAACTTTCTAATTACCTAAAAATCGTAATGCACATTGGACTAACTTCATTGTTGCAGTGGAACCTCAATGGGTACTACAGTCATCTGAACATGCTACAGAAACTCATATCAGATCAAAATCCAGACATAATCTGCTTACAGGAAACTCGCTTTACTGATACCAACACACACTCACCAAAAGACTACAAGGGATTCTTTAAGAACCGTAATTATACTTCCAATCAAATAGCTAGCGGTGGCACTGCTATATATATTAAAAGTAATATAGTAGCGAAACCTATAAATCTAAATACACAGCTAGAGGCAGTTGCTATCACAATAGAAGTCCCTCAAAAGATCAGCATCTGCAACATATATATACCACCGAACTATCAATTAGACATTAATGAACTAGAAATGCTACTCCAACAGATACCCTCTCCACGACTCATCATGGGCGACTTTAACGCCCACCACCTTGTTTGGGGTTCCAAAAGAAACAATGCTCGAGGAATAATAGTAAAGGACTTACTAGATACAACTGATCTTAGCATAATGAATGATGGTACAAAGACAAGGCTTGATCTTGGAAATGGAACATTCTCAGCAATAGACCTAACTTTAACCTCAACAAATCTGATAACCTCACTGCACTGGCAAGTACTAGATGACCTTTATGGAAGTGACCACTTTCCTATCAGAATATCTAATACGGAAGTCCAAAACAGAACTACACCATTCGAAAGGTGGAATTTGTATAAAGCCGACTGGATGAAATTCTCGGACTACATAGAACGACACATCCAAGAACTTCAAATAGTTAGCGACATTAACCAAAGTGTATACAATTTCAACAATATCATCTTGAGCGCAGCACATAATCACATCGGTAAAACCAAACCAATGATAAACAAAAACTCCGTTTCATGGTGGAACGAAGAGTGCGGCGCAGCAATCACAGCAACCAAGAAAGCATTAAATAAATACAAAAGACAAAGAACTACTGACAACCTGATAGATTTAAAGCGAAAGAGGTCACGTGCAAAACTAATAACAAAGAAAAGTCAAAAGGATTCTTGGAAAAAGTTTGTAAGTAGTATAAATAGTTCAACACCATTAGCAACAGTCTGGAAGAAGATCAAAAGCATAACCGGAGCCAAGTCATACTCACCTATAAAATGCTTGAAGGATGGAAACACAACACACACAACGAATGAAGCAATAGTTGAAGCATTTAGTGAAACTTACCTCAAAAGTTCCAGCAACCAAAATTACAGCGATGAATTTCTAAAACACAAAACAGAGCTAGAATCAATACCAATATCAATACAGAACAACCAAGACCCAGTGAATATAATAATCTCCGAACACGAAATGGAAGAAGCCCTTAACGACTTGAAAGAAACTACTGCAGGACCTGACGACATACCTACTATCTTTCTGAAAAATCTTCCTCAAGTAGCTAAACAACATTTACTAAGAATCTTCAACAAAATCTGGACTGAGAATATGTTTCCTGATATATGGCGCCAAGCATTAACGATACCGATACTAAAACCAACCAAATCATCTCTTGTACCTGAATCTTATAGACCAATAAGTTTAAAGGCTCCTATGGAGCCTAAATAAGTCGAATCTACTAGCTAAGGAGCAGTCCGGTTTTAGACAGAACAGATCCACCATAGACAATGCAGTAGACCTGGAAACATACATATATGAAGCTTTCGAGAACAAACAGCATTGCCTTGCGGTATACTTTGATATGACTAAAGCATTTGACACTATTTGGAGACATGATATCATCTTAAAATTACACGGATGGGGTTATGATGGGAATATCGTTGCTTTTATATCCAATTTTCTGAGCAATAGGAGTTTTCAAGTCCGTTCGAATGGAGTTCTATCCAAACCCAAACTACAAGAAAATGGCATCCCGCAAGGATCAATAATCAGCCCGACATTGTTCTTAATTGCTGTCAACGACATTCTTAGTTACATTGAAAAACCAGTTCAAGCACGTCTTTATGCGGATGATATGATAGTGTATATAAGAGGAAAAAACCCAACAACCAATACAGAACTCATACAAAAAACAATTCACAAATTGGAACAATGGACAAAACACTCCGGGTTATCATTTTCACCTGAAAAGACAAAATATATTATATTCTCAAGAAGACAGATAATCCAACTCAGAGTACCACTAACGCTTCATAACATATCCTTAGAGCAAACACAAGAAATCAAATTTCTGGGACTCGTATTCGATCATCGATTGACCTGGAAAAAACACATAGAGTACCTAGTTACAAAATGTGAAAAAAGAATGACAGTATTAAAATACTTATCCAACAGACACTGGGGAGCTGAAGGCAAATCCTTGCTCTACCTATACCGATCACTGATAAGATCTAAAATAGACTATGGTAGCATAATCTACGCCTCAGCTAGCCGTTCAACTCTAAAACCTTTGGATAGCATACACCACAGAGCACTTCGCTTAGTACTTGGAGCATTTAGAACAACACCAGTCCAAAGCTTATATTGTGAAGCCGGCGAACTGTCGCTGAATGACAGAAGGGAGATACTAAGCTTAACATATGCCACTAAAATAGCATCAAATCCAAGTATCCCTGGTCACAAGTACATAGGACAGATTAATAGAGGAATCCAGCTGGGCGTTTCCAATGCAACACAGAAAAAACCGTTTTACAGAAGAATCTCTGACTACTTGAGAAAATTAAATATCGCACAAATTCCTGCAACTACCATCAGACCTAGTGCAGACATTGCTCCTTGGACAATGCAGAGGCCAAGCATCAACAAAGCTCTCACAAGAATGAGTAAAACAGACACGCCAGCACCAGTAATAGTACAAAATTTCCAGGAAATAGTCAACAAATACCAACACCATGAGAAAATATATACAGATGCATCAAAACTTGACAATAGAGTAGGAACAGCTGTTGTGACATCCACTACTACCATTAAAATGAAATTACCAGACGAAGCAACAATTCTAACAGGAGAATTATATGGAATATTAGAAGCCATGAAACATGTACAGAATCAGATCATCCAACGAAGCCTCATAATAACTGATTCTCTAAGCTCGCTTCAGCTTATTGAGCAGATATATACGAAAAACCACCTGGTGCACCAAATTAAGCAGATTCTCCACTCATTACAAGCAGACAACCATGATGTTTTATTCATTTGGGCTCCTTCTCACGTTGGTATCCAAGGCAACGAAAAAGCAGACCATCAAGCTAAACTAGCAGCAAACTTGGATCACACATCAACCATAAACATCCCAGATACAGATATAAAATCTCACCTTAAACAAAGAGCTATTCAAACCTGGAATACCAACTGGCAGAACAACACATCAAAGCTATTTGAAGTAAAACCCAGATTCGGACCATGGACAACACACACAACAAACAGAAAACACCAAACAATCATCACACGACTCCGTTTAGGTCACACCCGGATCACCCATGGACATCTCATCACGCAGGAACCAGAACCCATGTGCGAAGTGTGTGAAACCCATCTCAGTGTCAAACACATATTAGTGCAGTGCCCTTTGTTAGAGCACTATAGAGTGGAATGTAACCTCACATCATCAACCATGTGTGATATTTTAGCACCAAATAGCAACATAAACAATCTATTACGTTTCCTACAGCAAACTAATGTATTATATAAAATATAGCATGTAAGCCGTACCGCTAATGGCCTTTAGGTCGAAGCGGGTAATTAAATAAAAAAAAAAAAAAAAAAAAGCTTGGGAACGTATTTATCAATAAGAACATAGTATATAAGGTATACGTATACATTCGTCTAGTTGTTAGAGCAAACCTATTTTTTGGCTAAGAAACATCAGGATGCAAAAAATGATGAGGAATCTAGATACCCAGATAGTCAAAAGCGGATATTACACGTCGATAAAGCAATGCACTCACTCGCTCAACGCACAACCGCCGTAGAAATAATTTTCTTCTGATTGTTGACCAAAGCATATATTTTGCCGTCAAGGCTCCAGACGAGTCTTCTTCCATATTTTCTGGATGCTGCACGAATTATGGCCAACTGCTTATGCACGAATTGCCACAACGTTTAAATGCAAACTCATACTTACTTTTCTGGAGAATTACATAGAAAATGTGTTAGATGATGTTCCGTTATCAACGAGAGTACGATTGTGGTACCAGCACGGCGGTGCCCCACCGCGTGTTCGTCGAGATATAACTTCATAGTTAAATAATCATTTCAGACAACGATAGAGTAGCAGAAACGGACCCGTACATTGGTCTGCTAGGTCTCCCGGTTTGAAACTCCTGCATTTCTTTCAAAGCGTTTCATCAAATTCAAGCCACAACAAATTTTGCTGAAATACGTTTTTCTTTATTAAAAAGACACCACATTTGTATCCGTCAGAATGGTGGTCTTTCTGAACATTTATTGTAATAAAGCTTTGATTATCTAACTTATTTTTTTTAATTTTTTCGAAAAAAAAAATTCTAGTAAA